GAAGATCGATTATTACCCCACCATTACTCAGTAAATATATCTGGGTATTAAAAGAACCATAATTTAAGACTAAACCCATAAACTCATCATGTCTAACTTACTTTTTCCGTCAGAACCCTTGTTATATCGCGCTGTGTCCTTGTCAAAGGCATCTGATTCATCAATTGTTTCAATTGCAGCAACAGAAGTGAACCGAAGCTGTGAGCCAAACAACCAATTAAGAAAAAAAAATAAAATCAGACAGAGTACATACAAGAACAGAAGTGCATACAGGTATGACTGTTTGTATATGCAGCAGTCATACCTTCGTCAAGCAGTAAAACAGAGGCGGACGAACTGGGAAATGAGGTTTGCAAGAGGAAAACAAACCAGAAATCGCCATGGAAACCAAAGAAATTCACAATTTCATCGTCGGCTTAAATTCTAGCCAGTGATTTTAGTCGATCACAAGTTGCAGAGACTTGCACAGAAGTTAGGGTTTTAGGATGAAAAGGTTGAAGGCGGAAGGGTTTTAGGCCGATACCACGTGGCAACTTATCACTAAATACTAATCCAACTTTTCGACTCCATGCCGTGTTTACGTTGATCAGTAGAACATCCTGGTGTTTGTTGTACGACTTAACCTGATGGACACCTTGCTGTTTTCAATTTAACAAGGTAAACTACGCGCCGTTTATTTATCCGAATCCCCCTATCCGAAACTGCTCGCCGTTTCGAATATCAAGGCATGAAGTACAAGCTGTTCTGTCGAGCTCCATGACGTGAGACTCAGATCCAGAACTATACGACGAAGCTCTGGCCTCGGAGTCGAAAAAGAAAACCGCTTTTGTCACCGGAAAAAGCGAAGCTGGAGATCGATGAGGCTCTTGCAACTAGTTTTTCTGTTAGCTTTAACCACTGGAATCTCCGCCATTCTCATCTACATCACCGGCGTCTCCAATCTCTGTAAGCATACGAAAATTTCGCATTTGTTGTTCTACTGTACACGCTTCCGTATGCGTATTCGTCGTGTATGTGTACGCACACTTTGGTTCTCTGAAGTTTTGGGATGATGATGATTCTATGTTTGTAGACGAGACTAATCAGCTTACGAATGAAGATCTGGAGGCGTTGCAGTCTCTGCAGAGCGGATTCCAGAAGTGCGTTGTGAGTATCGGCGGTGGAGATCTATGCTTCGTTATCTTCTTTCGCTTTGTTGTTTGCTTTCGCTTGTTTTGGAGTGAGCATCAGTCTTGGAAGTTGGAACTAGTTGTTTGAGCTGGGGGGGGGGGGGGGG